AGCTTTTCCTTTATGCAAAACAGGAATATGATCACAGACTCATTACAGAAACAGGAGGACTACTGCTCTTTATAGAAGGATGAAACTGTCAACATATGTGTTTTCTTCTAAATATCAAGCCCAGAAAGAAGGTGAAATGGCTTGCAACGTTGGATGTTCAATATGAGCCAGAGATATCAAGCTCTTGGCTGCATCCAGTTCACGTGCTCCTCAAAAGACAGGGAAATAGAGGAAGGAAACCTGCACAGAAGTTTATGGAAAAGGACCGAGACCTTTGCTGATGCACAATTCCCCACCCCTCCCCCCTAAAAAAGAATTTTTGAGTTTTTGACTACCTATGAGGTGAGAAATTTGGAAAGAGACTGATGAATCCAAATATTTGTTTTTGGTAGCTGTCAGCTGGATTCTAACAGACATTTGTTTGTTAAATCCCAAACACACGCCTGTTCAAGGCTCAGCATCCTCTTGGGAGACATGGTTTTCACAGGCTGCCATTTGGACTGAGTTCAACACCATCCATGTTCCCATGAAAAACACAATAAGATGACACAGAGATTTATACTAATGTCACTTGTATTTGGAGAATCAGAGTAGGTAAGTACTGCTTTGGATTCTAAACAGCTTTGGAAAAAGCCAGAGAGTTAAAATTAGACAATGTAGGAGCATGGCTTACAGCACATCAACTACTCTATGTTAACCACCTGTGCACACAATAACACTAAGGTAACTACTGAATACTCTGCATTTCATATTGGGTAAGAGGCTATGCACAAGCTGTTGAGTTGGAGTAACCTAAAAGCTGTAAATTTACACCTCAGCTTCCCCTTGCAGTAATTTGACAAAATGCTGGATGGTGGGGCACCCACAGAGGAGGCCCTTATGGGATGCTGTTGTCATATTGGGCTGTTATCATAGTACGGCTGAAACTGAAGAATATTTATGAATTATGTTATAGGCTACCATGAAAAATAAGCATCATCAATCACACTGGTATAGAGAAAACAGATTTAGCCTTAATCTGCATTTAAGTTATCAGATCTACTTTGGGGAGATCTGATTTAGTTAAAAATGACCATGAAGAACTTGTTGCCAAAAGATGCTTACAAATTAGCACCCTCGTCCTTAAGGACGCACGGATTACCTTTTCCAGGTACAAATATACCTCTTGTAAACAGACATGAGCATCATCTAGCTCTGAATCAAAATCAATTAACTCCTAAAGTGATTAAGTATCTCAAGACATTGGCTGGGGGTTTTAAAAGGAGTCTGCTCCTGAAGGAAATAATGTGACCTTTGCGCTTTGTTTCAGTGAAACCAGTGGTGGAGTGTTATGGATCTATCATCACTGTGATAGTCATACAGTACATTTTCAAATGCAGAGACTCCTCCTATAACGTTGTCAGTCTTTCTGAACAGTTTCTGTCAGCTTTCACCTTTGCTTAAAAGTAAACACAGTAAGTTCAACTTCAGAGAGGCAGGGGTGAAAATTAAACACCACTGAGAAATAGCAGAAAATGGCTATGCTAAGAAATAGAAAATAGTAAAAATACCTCCTGGGTATCAGAAATAGCAGGCGAAAAAAGAATATCAGGCATTCTCAGTGAAAATAATGACACGGTAAAATACACTGTAAGATGTAATAATTTCATTCAAACTCCTGATAACACTTATCACCATTCAAGACAGAAGGCAGTTTCCAGCTTTGGTGACATCAGGACAAAAATACTTTTCTAGGTAGCAATCTGTTGGCAATAGAGAGGAATTTTGTTGGATTACATATCAGGACCGAAACCGAGCCTTACTTCTCCACAGAAATGCCTGGATTTAACAAGCAGAGCAGCAGGACGAGTGGGGTGAAGGCAGCAGAAGAACAAAGAACACTTCCTGCCCTGCTTGCTGCCTCCTTCTCCTTCCATGGTGCCACCCCTCACAGTTTTGTTCTGGCAAGTCACTGGACAGAGTCTGAAATATGAGCTGGTAACCCTTCCTTTCCTTTCCTTTCCCATTCCTAAAATGGAAACAAGCCTTCTTCTCCTGTAGAGCTCTGCTATTACTTCTTCACGTTCTTAAGGTTTTCAGACAAGGAAACTTTTAAAACAGAAAGCATGTCAAAGTGAAGATGAGTTTAAGTAATTTTCTTGAAGGCTATATTTAAACACTATCTGATCTATAAAATTCAAAATAAAAAGAATTACCTAGCTAAAAAATAAGGAATTGAAATTTGGTAGCCAAATTTACCTTAATCCTGACCACAGAATGATTCCTCAAGAAAAATAATACCGATGAACAGTGTTATCTATCTGTAACAAACTCAGTTCACTGGTGACCACAGGAACTCAGTCATACACCAACTGAAGGAGGGGATAAAAGGGAGCTTACAGATTTCTGTTAACTCCTTGCACTTCAATAGCCACTAAATAATAACAGATATCTGGCAGAGTGGAGAATCTCGCAGTAGATCCTATGGTCTACTTTATGATGAGTAGAACCTATGATCCCACTTGTCCAGGAATTTAAGTTTAGTAGTGTGCAGAGTTTTTCTGGAAGACTGGACTGTCTTCCCATTCCACCTCGGCAATTCTTTAGCTAGCTAGTTTAGCACACAGAGGTTATCAAATTTCTGCCAGGAGACAGGGATCTCTACAAATGCAGAATTCAGGTCACTTGGCAACAATAGTTAGGACTACCATTTCAAATATCTGGACCTAACCTTGAACTTCTTGTATCTCGAATAAATATACACTTGTATTCTTCAAAGGCCATATGAACTCATGACATTAAAGCATACCTACAGCCGTAAGACTTAGCCTTTAAGCTTTTTAGTTTGGAAACAATAAAGGCCCTCAGATATGTGTCAAATGAAAGTCTGTCCCTATAATAAAACTGAATGATAAAAAGAAATTAAAAAGACATACATTGAGAAGAAATGAGAGACAATCAAACCTACAAGCTGTCCTTTAAGCTGTCCTTTCCATTTTGGAGCCCTTCCAGTTAACTAGCTGAGAAACTATTAGGAAGATTGGTGATTCAATTCCTTCCTCCATAGAAGGCTACGTACCCCTGCAGATGCAGCTGTACTACGTACATATGTATACTCATATCCCAAAGGATGGGCTTTCATTTAGCACTCTTTCAAACTCAGCAGCTTAGGGCTATTTCAGATAAAAAGTCATAAATCCCAGCACTACATCTGAATGAGGCAGATGAGTACAAGAGAAGTCTAGCCAGGTTAAATAGATATTACTCTGTAGCTAGTGTCCAGACATGCTCTGTTTTTGCAAGGGTTGGCTCTACAAAACAATCGGCAGAGTAAAGCTTATGGAAGGGCTTCCTGTCTTTGGCTGTTTCAGGAATTTCCTTTCCAAAATCTGCTCTACCAGTTTCCGCTCTCCCTAAGGAGGTGTTCCTATCTCCTTAACATCCCAGAGGAATTAATGAGCCACACTTTGTTTCAGCAGCTATCTGCACATTTTAAATACCAACCAAAAATAATTACTCAGAAGCACTCAGGTTCTGTTGAGCAGCCCAAACCTTCAGATGAACTGTAGTTTTCACATTTCACTGTGATTTTTTTATTATTATTATTTTAGGGAAGCCGTATTGCCTCCTTTCTCCCTCCGAGTTTCCCAGTAGCCACTGCCGTCAGGCAAAACGCTGTTCTCAAAACTTGGCCCTGGGACAAAGGGTTTAATGAGTTCCACCAGGTGCATGAATCTTGCCCTGCAGAAGTCGCACAGCTGGTTGGATAGAAATGCAGCCTAGTAAACTTAAAGTAGACTTGTCTCAGCTTGCTTTGTTCCCAGCGATACATGTTCACTGAAGGAGAACACTATGTTAATGAAGTGCAGATAGAACAGGTAAATCAGAGATAACAGCAAAAAAGCAGAAGTGCAGCTTTAAACAGTGTACCTAAGGTGAAGTCTCTAAATCACTATACGATAAAGAAGAGGCCAGAAATAGGTTCACAGGCGTGCTGGGCACACTGGGGGAAGGGGAACATAAGATAGGGGACTTGCAGCTGGACTTCAGTTTAGCAACTGAAACTGGAAAGAAAAGAGAATCAGATTCTCTAAAGGCTTCTTTTAATCTCAAACATCAGAACAGCCGTAAGGGATTAAACAACATAAAAATGAAATCAGGAGATAGGGGAAAAGGAATTAAACTTCACACACAGAAAGCAAACAGCACTTTCTGGATGTATCATCTGCTTCTTCCGGAAGCTAGCCTGCTCATCTTTCCCAACCCGCAGCACTCACGGGACCCGCAGCAGCCCCCGAGAATCGGTTTCAGAAACAGAAGGAATCGCAGGTAATGTCGTTTTCCTAGGAAGTTTCCTTGCAGCTAATGAAAAACATCCCTTCTTGAAACAGGGTATGTCGTCCCAGTAACAAACCCAAGCAATTCTGGTTTGTAAGTTATAGCTAGTTCTTCCTAAAGACACCTCGCGAACTAGAATTTTAGCTCTTGGTTTGGAAAACACAACTATGTTTGTCTGTTTGTGTGTTTTGTCCCACCGCAGTATATTTGCCCTTTAAAAAAAGCATCTTGCAGGCTTGTGGATTTTTTTTATAGCATTTTCTTTCATTTAGTTTTTAATTACCCAAAGTTTTACTTTGGCATTAGTTTTACATCAGCTACTGCAGTGCGATGATTTAAAATAAAACTGGGATATTTAGAATAAAACGAGTAAAACCAAAGCCACATTTTCCTGGATGTTTCCAGAGTTTTGCAGCGAACGTTTTCTTTATGTAGCTGCAAGTTCCTCGTTGTTGGAGAGGTAGCAGTTTTAAACACTTAGTAAATCCTTCTTTTTCACTGTTTCTTTGGTAAGTTTACAATGTGGCTTGATCCCAAGACATTAGAAGCTGTGTTTGCCAGACCTGAAGAGCCTTGTAGTTAAGTTATTTAATTCCACCTTTTCTTTCTTAAATTCCACTTTATCTTTTTCTTCAACTCAGGAACTAAGGAGACCAGTGCTTTGCAAGAATAGGTATACTTACACATGTTTCTCGCTGAACACACTGTAAGGTTCTCTTAGCAGGAACAAGGAAGTCAATTAGGCATCTGAGGCCGTCTCCTTGATACAGCTTTTCCACTATGTTGAAGAGCTGCCAGAGGACAGTGGCAGCTGTGGCCTCAAAAGGTGGGTACAACGCAGAGAGCGTGTTCTGAATGTAAGTATCAAGGGATTTAGAGTCCTGCAATAAAAGCATTAAAATAGTCACTGAAGAATTTTCTCAGAAAAATGAAAGACAGAAATTCTCCATGTACTTATTCCACCTTGTTATCCTTATACATTGCATACACTCATGACTCACGAGGAGTTTCTCGTCTAAGTTGCACAGCAACCTGTAACAGAAGTTTTCTGGCTAATTTTTATGCAACCGTCCAAACTGCTGTGCTTTAATAGGCTGTGCAATTCTGTCAGAACCGTGATGCAGCTCACTACTGCTTAAGCTATTTTCATGCAATTGGAAATATTTATTCATATTACGAAATGCTAAAATATTAAGCTTTTATTAAACAATTATTTTCCTGCACATTGTTGCCTCACCTGAATTTCCGTGCCACAAAGCCATTCCCCATGTGTTTTCACAGCACGTGCAGTAAATAGTATTCATGGATTCCGAACAGACTCCAAGGAAACACTTTCCCTTCTAAGCTATTCTGTGCTAACAATCTGAATTGCTACCTTCTCCAAAACCTACTTGTATCGTTCTTGAAGTTTCTCATTCTTGGTTTCAGTAGTGTAAAATGCTGTCATTTTTCTTTTATGACTGCAGTCATTTTAAATTTCAAAAATATCCAGAAGAGAAATTTGTTGATGGATGAATCTGTCAGTGATCATTTTTGCTTCCTGAGGAAGAGTCCTACCATTTCATAATTTCAGTAGCCAAAGCCTGATAACCATTCTTGCTGCATAAAGTTACACTAGCGCTGTGTTGGAAGTAGGATGGGGGTGGGGGGGGGGGGGGGAAAGTAAAATTTAGGCTTAAGTCACATTGAAAAAATGGTATTTGAGGAGAGTTGCAAATTCCCACCGTTTCAGGAGATCTTCTCAGCTCTCTGCCTAAAGGAAGAAAAATTTAGCTAGACACAACATCCCAAATAGAATCTGAGTTATGTTCTTTTGGCTTAAAACTTCCAACAAATTGTATGCATATGACCACGGTTGGAAGGGGAGAAGGAGGAACATGTGGAAGCTCCAGAGAACTGTGGAGAAGAAAAGACAGTATCTGCTAGTCCTGCTTCCCTAAGGAGAACCCCTTTGGAGAATGGTAGGAGACTATACCAAGAAAAGAGCTGTAAAAGAGCATACAGGAGATGACAAAAGGAATCAGACTCTGAAGATGATTGCAGGGAGGGGAGAGGAACACTGGGAAGTCCCAGAGCCACACATATGAGACAGCAGAAGACTAGGCCATGTACTACAAGCACAGCGCTGTGTCACGGCACTAATGAGGTAAGCAAAGTGTAATCTCTTTTGCCACTCCCTTTTCCTTCTTCCTTCCTATCTCTCAGCCAAAATCACAGCTTGATTAAGAAGCCTGCTATCACCTCAGTTTGGCGGCTGCATTTATTTTTCAGGTGCCAAGTCTGTTGAAACACCTGAGCAGCAAGCTATCTACAGGTAACAAACCACAGTTTGTTCTTGGAGACTTCAGGGAACAAAGGGAGTGGTGAAGGTCATCGCCGAAAAGTTTTCCTTTAGGAGCCCACAGGCAGAGGCAGAAACATTAAACTTAAAAAAAAAAAAAAAAAAAAAAGAATTCTCAATATGAAGGAACAATCCTCTAAATCCTCTACCAGAAATGAAGCAAATGCATCGAGAAGGAAAGACTTCCCCAGCCTGAGAACTTGGAACAAAGCCAGGAATCACAGAAATGCCGAGGTCACTGCTGACAAGTGCCAGACAGCGTGCTGTCTTTAGCTCTAGTGCTGTTTAGAGAAAACAAAAAGTGTTTGCAGTTAGGAAACTGCTTTGATAAACTTTCTAGTCCTCATTTTACTCCCATGCCCTTGAATTATGCATTTATAAACCAAAGAGATAGAAGCAGGCAGAATCTGGAAGAAAACATGTTTGTGGGGCAGCAGGGGTAGAGAGAGAGGAGTAGACAGCAGGGGGAAAAGAGCAAGTTTAAGCAATTCAGAAGGACTATAGATTAAGTTATTTCACTAACTCAGTCTGCATACCGGAGCGGGCTTCAGAGACCCAGAATCAAGAGGGCTTAGCGTGCAAGGGAATTCAGCATCAGAAGCCAGAGGCTGGCATTCTCCCAGAGAACAGACCGGGACTAGGTTGCAACAGAGGCACGCTTACTAGCCACTTAAATACACCTGAGAGCCACCCATCCGAACGCTTTTAGCGCAAGTGAATCCTGTGAGCCAGGAGCTTCCGCCTATACAGCCAGGGAGCACCAGCTCTCCACCCGTCCAAACCTTGTTCAGATATACTTGAGGCAGACACAGCTGGAATAAGCCTTCCTCAGCCCCAGTTATCTGCATACAATAGAGGCTGAATTCTGCATGAGAGCAGCGATCTTCACCACACTGGTGGTGGTGGGGGGAACCCTTAAAAATGTATTTCCAGTAGCTCAAAAAGCAGGTGGTGCATGTTCACTCCTTCAGCCAGAGGGAAGTATCAGAACATAACTTATTTGTAAATCATGCAGCACTGAGCAAGACTGACAAAATTTCCCGCTATGAATTGTAGTGCAATGCTGCCTTATTTGCCTGGCTAGATTTGCATTCACTGCAACATAGCTCTTGATTTACCTGTGTCATGTCAAGATGCCACAAAAGCACTTGATCCAGTGATATAACGTAGCATACACAGGAAAGAACACGGCACACAAAAAGCACGAGTTTCATGATAGGGGCACACACAGATAAACCATCAGAACATCCACACAATGGTAACTACTGGTCATGCAGAAGCTGTACGTACAGTTCAGGAGGCCTGCGGGAGTTGCCATCATGAAATACTTCTCACTAACCTAACCAGTTTGTGAAACCCTGAAGCCACAAACAGCCCCGAGTACTATACGTCCAGCTGGTACCAGGCCCTCTATATCTGCACCATCAGTTGCAGCAGACTGAACCCCTCAGCTCTTGGGAAGGTCTACATTTCTACAGCACAGTGGTGAGCCCAAAACAACACATCCCGTCTCTCAAGAGCTCATTAGTTCAGCCTAACATGCTAAACACTGTAATGTAGCTTCCAGCTGACCTGTAGCCTTGTAAAAAATATGGGTCATGTCTTTCTACTAGAGATCATAGCTCTGCGATATAGCTCAGCCTTCTCCTAGCCACCTCTCCTGGAGAGGCAGCCCTTCAGCACACATTGCTTCTGCTGAAATGAGGCTGGTGGATTTGCCCTGTGCTGGAGTTTTTCTACAGGCAAGGCAATACAGTGCGTGACAAACTCAGTTTATTCTATAGCCGTGTTTACAAAAAAAAAAAAAAATCAATGTAACGCAATTAAAACTGGGTATACCATATTTCACAGTACTAGCTTATTAGAGAGCCTGGGAAATTCCTTAGTACCCCTCTACCTCTTCACATACGTCATTATGTAAACCAACAAGAAATAACATTGCTAACTGAACTGTTGTAAAGGCTTAGGGATTAGTAAATTGAAAAGGAATAAAAGGCCTTCTTTTATAGCACAAAGATAGGAAATGTGCATTTACTTCAAACACTCGTTAACTAAAGGTGTTTGCACAGCCATTTATCTCCAAGCAGAACAAATGGGTGAAATCCCATCCACACCAAAAGAGGAACTGACGCAGACTCAAATGACCTAGGAGGAATCCTAAAGCTGGCCTTAAAAAAGAAAACAGCGCAGCGTACAGACAGCCCATGACCAATCTGCTGCAGTAGCAGCTCAAATAGGAACATTTTTACTTTCCTAAGAAATCAGTATCCTGTATCTTCATAGTACTTTCAGCTATGACAGCATGACCCATGAGATTAAGAAGAGAGCCGAGGACCTGATTTCCTGCAATGCTACTCATGTTACATTATTTCTACATCAGGGTAGCTCTTTCACAGAAACCGTTTGAGTTATCTGGCTATAAAGCTGGTACAGAGAATCTAGCCTCAGACTTAGCCTTACATCCCATCTGGCCCCAAATCTGCTATGTCAAAGGACCTTTGCAAAGTGCCCTCATTTTCTTTTTAAGTTTCTTAATTAGTGCACAATTTCAAGTTATTTAGAAGGAAATTAAACACAAATACTGCATGCGTGCCTGTTTTTGTGAAAGCGCTTAAAAATATCGGCAAGTGAGGAGTATGGTTATACCAAGCTGCTAAAGCAAGACCCAGATTTGAGCTAGCTAAATACAACTGGATACTTATGGTTATCTTGAACAGTTAGAATGAAAATTTCATTACCTCACACATAGGAGCAGCATAGCATCACTTATTTAATCTTTAACTTCTTTCCTGCATCTGACCTTCACAGCGTGGCTGCTTAATACAATCAGTGCCATGCAAAAAGTATTACCCCAGTGTAGGGTAGCATTATATTACCTAAGTTGATTTTGGGTATTCAAGTTCTCATGCTTTTGCAATACACTGCATTATGTTGGGTAAAAAGAGCCTGATAGTACAGAAATCTTCCTGCACAAGGAACAAACCGAAGAGCAACCCCTGACTAAATGCCAAGAACCTGGACAGGCACAACAAGAGGTTTGCTTCCAACTTGCTCTTCTCTCACACGAAGCTGGCGGTGACAGCTCCGCTAATGCAACGGAGGGAAGCCAGCTGGACCACCCTGAACAAGTACGTGTTATTTCATAAGTAACACGGCAAAGCATACAGTTGGAACGGAGGTCCGTTAGGCCACAGCCAGATAAGTCAGGAACCAGAAAGAATGTGGACAACGAGAGAGACTGCCTACCGGAAAGCCGGTTAGGAACTTTCCAGATGAAAGGCTCCTAAAGAAATTATTTCTCCTTTGTAAAAATCAAGGCAGCCTGAAATGACACAATGCTGCTGCTGTACACAAAAAAGTTAAAACAGCAAAAGATAAGCTATTTTGTAACCATTTATACTGCATCAGTTACATTGCTAAGTGGACCGGCCATGAAAATAGCTATGCAAATTACCTATTCAAAAAATGCCTCCTGAAAGGCTTGCTTTTATACCAATTTAATAAAAATATCAATTTACAGGCGTTCAGCCATGCTAGAGT